AGTGCTGACTCCAAGGTCATCAACCGGTACTGGTTCCACGCCCACACGTCCCCGCACTAGTACTGACTCACGCCGTCAACTGGTACTAAGTACGGGGTCCATCAATTCAATCATATGCATCCCCATACAATTGGTTACCCTTTATTTCTATATTATCATTCCTGAATTTTTCTCTTGGATTTATCTTTCGTACTCACTTCGATTTGTGGTTCAATTCTTTCATTTTATGTACTTACACCTTTTTCACATTCGTTCAACATATTTGTCTTATCATTTTTCATTTGATTACAACTTATCACCGTATTATAGTTTGATCCATTTGAACCCATAGTCGGGGTTGCGACCAGTCACTGTGAGATTTTTCCCTTTTTGTTTTAGCCTGGATCGATCGGTCTAGGAGCAGGTCGTCCGGTCTACGCATTTTGTTCATCTGGTTTTATTTTTAGTCCTGGACCGGTCGGTTTTGATGTAGACCGATCGGTCTACACCTTTTTTTCGGTTTTCTTCCCTATTTCTCGGCCCGGTTCGATCCTCGGTTTAAGTTTTTCCCTGGACCGATCGGTCTGTATATGTGGACCAGTCGGTCCAGGTTAAGTTCAGACCGTTCTTTGTCCGTGGCCCAGACTGTTCGGTCCAGACCTGGACCGGTTGGTCTGGGTCCTGGACTTCGTCTTCCCTACGAGATCCAGCCCGATTTTCGCCATTTTTTACCAAATTTTGATCCGATTTCGACTCCGAATGCTACCCACTCATTATTTAACATTCCTAGATCCTTAATTCTTGTAGAAACACTAATCTACACCATTATTCATGAGAATTGAATCTCACAAACACAACTCAAAACCACTAACCTCGGTTTTCTACAAGATGTGATTTTGTCCGAGCTTGTGCGAGCTCCTCAACCCGTTTCGTGCCGTGAAACTTTCTAGAAACCTCCTAGGGATGTCCCTCTTCGAGTTTTCGAACCCGTTTCGCCTTGATTCTCTGTGAATCTCTCCCTCTTCCTCTCTTTCAAACTCTGTAATTTTTTGCTCAAAAATGGCCGAGGAGGGGTTTAGGGGACGGATTTAGAGGCTCGTGGGTGAGCTAGGGGATAAGGGGGCATCGCTGGAAGTGAGCTGGTGTCTCCCACGCATAGCTCGTGGGCGTGACAGCGGGTGGGGCACTGTAGGGTCGTCAGAAATCGCTGGGAAAAGGTGTTGCAGACAGCCTGGTGCTGTCATCCGCCTAAATCGATCGGTCAGGAGTCCTGGAGGTGTGTTTTCATGCGATTTTTCATCCATTTCGACCCGTTTCGGACTGATTTTTAGTTTGGCTTCTCCTGTATCCATTCTTAGGTCTTTTTGAATGTTTTTGATCCCATATGCCTCTCGTACTTATTAGTCGTATCCATTTATTTAATTATTTATTCTTTAAAATAATTAAATATTATTTTTGGGATTCGGGATATTACGATATTTCGCATATTTATAGATATCCCTTGTATATTTTACTCTGATTTCGATGTTTTTGATATTTTCCAAGGACATTGAAGCTTTGGGCGGAAACGAGGCAATTTCCGAGAAAAAGACATGACCGAAGCCAACCCGAAAACATGCTGAGTACCAAAGAGTCAAAGAGGAAATGTTTGCACGATGTCGACATTACGAGCCCCATAACTTTTGCAATACATATCCATATCATACGTACTATACATCATTGGAAATCCTTTTCAATAGCTACGCGGAGACCTAAAGATCACTCCAATCCGATATTTCGTTAGAAAGTTATGATTAAAATACTATGAGCCTATGTTCTGACGACGAACTGTGCAAGAGTGTGCTATTATGAGCCACATAACGCTCTCAATACAAGTCCAAATTACGTATGCGATAGTGGAAAGAAGTCTTCAATAGCTACACGAGGACACCAAGATCACGTCAATCCGACATCGGAGCTGAACGTTATGAGGAAAACATTATGACTATGTCTTTTGATGACGACAAGAAAACAACTTTTCCTCAAAACACGGAACTCAAGAATTATGGAGAAAAATGGGGAAATGTCTTTCTCCTTTTCTTGGCTATAAAAGGGGCACGAAGGGGAGGCTTAGAGGTATCATCCAACACATTTGAGAGTGAGTTTGAAGAGTAAATTGAGAGTTTCTTGAAAGAGATCCAAGGAGGAGTCAAGAGAAGAAGAAGAGGAGGAGGAGGAGGAAGAAGAAGTGTCCTGCAACTATCACTAAGCATTCTCTTCCCTTTATTTTAATTCTTATCATGAACTTCTATTTTGATGTTGTTTGTATGTTTTCCATGATGTGTGAGTAGTTTTATCATTGTAGGTTAGGGATTAAGGTTGGGTAAGGATCATGTGAACATAACCTATCTTTGAAACTATGGGTTTTATGATTTGGTTTGAATGAATGAATCTTAATGCTATGAATCTTGTTGGCCACTTGATTTGTTGAACCTAGAATTTATTTTGCATAGAGATATGGAACTAAGTTTGGAACTCTTTCATTTGAATGGATGAATATTGCATTGAGAAATGAATGAACATCATGATAGTGAATTTAGTGCTCTTAAAAGTTTCAATCTATTTGGAATCGAGAGATCGGTAGGTTGAACTCTTGAGAAGAGAGGTGAGACTCGAGAGAGTAATTCTCTATAGCAAGAACTTGAATTTCCCGAATCATAACTCTAGTTACGAAGATATATCCGTAGAAACGATCCTTACATAACCCGCAATTCCCGACACCTACAATGTTTTATAGAATTGTACTAATTCTTTGCTTATATTTGCTTTAATTCGTGTTTACTTTCAGTTATAATCATCACCACCATCATTATCATCTCCGACCGAAACCGAGTAGTAATCGTAATCTTTGTCGTTAAACCACACGTGTCCTTGTGTTCGACCCTAGATACTACAATTGATCCGTACACTTGCGGTGATTGTATCTATGAATTAAAACAAGATTAGATCACATCCTAGATTGACATCACCAGTACATAGAAGCTACTGCGACAGGTTTCTCCTCAGGTGGTCTGGGCTAAAATGGTGTGGTTCAAACAGGTTATCCCAGATATGCTTTTTATACAATGGATAGTAATGCAGGGGAGGCTACCAACTCGAGATAGATTGAAGCAATGGAAACATGGTTCAAGACTCAACATGCGTTTTATGCAATGAGGAGGAAGAAACGCACGACCATCTCTTTTTCCATTGTGCATTTAGCTGGGAGATTTGGAAGTCGCTTGCGACAAAGGTTTGGAGGAACCACCCAACCGAGTTATTGAGAGCAGAGCCCGTCGCAATTTGATGATAGCGAACGAAGTACACTACTAAAGATCCTAATTCAGCATTATGTATATGAGGTGTGGAAGGAACAAAACTCCAGAGTTTTTCAATGTTCAACGTCTACCCCATAGATTCTTTGAGTTCGGGTAGTTCAATCGATGCAAACTATAGTTTCAGTAACATGTCATTGCAACAGGTCGAACACAGTTGAAGCAAACATTTTATTTCAGAAATGGTACTCTTTAACAATTTCGCGACAAGTCTCTTGTTGAATAATTGTAGACTTTATTGTAAAGCTTATCTTCTAATTAGGTAAAAGTTAGCGAAAGCTTCAAGCGTGGATTTGAATCATATACTATATACTATGTGCAATCTATTTTTTTATTTATATACAAAATGTTTTATAAAAAAAGTATTTTAAAATTTTAGATGTAAAAAGTTCTGACACGACTAATTCAATTCATTGAGAAATGATATTATCCGATCAATTTCTGAGAATCGATCGGATAATACCATTTCTCAAACATTACAACCAATGACTTGAATATCCAAATCTCTCAAGCATTCCATCATTTCCTATTTTAAAATCCTAACTCACAACCCTCCTCATCCTTCGAACTAGGGTGGGTATCTCGAAAATTCATTGGTTCAATTTAGAAATGATTTATTCGGTATTCTAAAATTTATACCAAAGTAATACTATATATTATTCAATTCGATTCGGTTCCGGTTTCGATACAATTCGGTTTTGAATTTTGATTAAAAAATAGATTTTCTAAAAAAAATCGTTTTTTTGAAAATTTTATAAAATTCGCTTCGGTTCCCGAAAATCTGATTCTATAAAAAAACATATCGTTCGAAAAATTTTAAATGGTATTATTCGAAAAAAAATTCGAGATCTTCAATTTGGTATGGTTCTAACTTCTATCTTTCGAAACTGAACCGAAACCGAAACGTCACCCCTACTTCGAACAAAACCCTAGTACATTCTCGCCTTTCTCAGACCTCACCCTCTTAGATATCACCCCTCACTGCCTGAACCCCTTACTCTAGATTGGAGTGGGCACTCAATTTGATAGTTCAGAAATCAAACCAATCTAAATCAAATAATACGTAACTATAAACGAACCAAACCTGAGATAAAAAAAAAAAAAAAAACCCGAAAGGTTATGATATCTTTGTAAACGAAAAACAAAAATCAAAACAGAATCGAATATAAAAATTATCAGAAAAAACGTACTTGTTTTAGAAAATAATATTTTTAGCATTAAAAACCAAAGTCGAACCGAATCTATCAAAACCGAATGGATATAGATTTTCTAAAATCGAAAAAATCAAACTCAAATAAAACTGGACAGAATCTTAATCAAAAACCAGTCCTAGATCACGCCCGCTCACAGCCTTTCTCTTGGGTTTGAGTTATCTAGGTTTTTACAGACAACGGATTCGGATATTAGCTTGGCCAGATATCCGAATTTCGAGTGCCCCTGATATCCAAAATTTGGATACCCACACCCAGCCCTATTTGACCCGAGGCTCACCCTTGTCACCGTTGTGCTCCAAAAGGGTACCTTTGCCTCCTTCACTTAGTTTAGTTTAGTCGTCTTGCCGACCAATGGTGCTCATTCTACATAAGATAGGATCAGACAAAACAAGCTCAAGCATAGAGAATAATACTAATATGTATATCCCTCTGCGGTACTTATTAGCCAATCAAGTAATGAATATGTTAAGTTAAGTGACTGCATTTTGATATGACATAAACGACCGCCGGCCGTGCTATTGTCATATGCGATAAAAATAGTTTCGATGTTTAGGCATCATGCTTCATTTATTGCATGTGAAATACATATCAAAACAAAGGTTCTTCTGGTCAAGAAGATCCAGGAAACTTGAAAAAAGAAATTGAGCAACATAATCTTCACTGCCGAACAAAGGTTTGCACTGCCAAATCTGTAGTAAAGACAGAAATAACGATCAATATTAGTAAAAAAATCGATGTGCTGAATTCATGCCAGGGAGATAAGTGATAGTGTCTCCAAGAGAATATAGCAGCAAAGTGAAGACGAGTACAAAGATAAAATAGGTCAATTATCCTATAGAATTAGCATCTAGACAAGCAACGCCAAAACGACATCTGACTAACTCAAATATTTAAAAACCATACTGCATATGATATGCAGCAACCAAGTAAACAATTGAAATTTCACATCTTCCACCACCATGACAACCAGAACATCATGAAACAAACACAAAAAGTAGATCCCCCAGCCAAGTGATCTAAATATGATTCAGGGTCCAGACAACACAACTCCAGGCCTATTCTAAGAGCCTAAAGACAGACAGAAAATGGTTCAGAAATCATGCCTCTAACCTTCTGTGATACGAAACTCAGTGAAACCCAGATATCAAATTCTCTTTTACGTATTAAAAACCCCATGGTTTCGCACAGATTCATCAAAACATTGTTGCAGGCACTGTGAATTAGGATCATACCAATCCTATCCCACCAAAAGTTGCATTAAACCCTTTGCACCAAGCAAACAACCATTTTCTTCAAAAAGACGGCAATTTGACGGTTCGGGCAGAAGCTACTACAGTATCCCATCAATCAATTCCATCAATACGAATCCTCAAATCACCGCATCGGTGCAAAATTGCAAAGATGTAATAGACTTAATGTCTTAATCACCTAATGCCAAAATCATTCTGTTCATAAAGACAGGTAATTTGAGCGCAAACAAACAATTAGAATATCGCTCCAATCAGTTTACCCATATGAAACCAAAAATCGCAGAACTTGAGGTGCGGAATCGCAAAAGATGTGATATACTTAATTACCGATACTAAAATCATCTACATGATTATCAATTCCGAATTTGGATTCCTAAGGATCACACGCCATCACCAAAACCAATGCCCTGGAAACCATCAACCGATCTCAACAAATGAAAACTGAAACGTATCCTCATACACACCTCAAATCATGGAGTAATGAACGCATCGAACTGATTCCTCCTCCACATCAGTGACCGCCATGCTCCTTGGCATGCTGCTGATGCTCCAGGTGGCGGCGCTCGTGGGGAAGAGCGACAAGGTACGAAAGGATCATGCCACCGAAACAGACATGAAGGAGAGGATCAACGGAGCTGGTCTGAATGTACTTCTCGTTGTAATTGTCGAGACCTCTCTTCACAGAATTCTTGATGTTCTCAAGCGTCAACATCGGCTTGAAGTAGCTCGGGAGTTCCTTCACCTTCTTCCCCTTGATCTCACTGAACAGCTTCCTCATCGCCATTGTCGTCCCTTTCTTCTGTCCGGATTCAGCGAAACGTAGAGAAATCGTGCTAACCCTAATTTGCAAGAGAAATGGGGATCATCGAGAAGGTGGGAAATTATATTAGGAAAATAGTGTAAAAAGCCAAAATATTACTTTCGTGGATATTTTTATAATTTGCTTTTTTTAATTCTGGATTCGGGTCGGATCTTACTTTCGGATCTTTTTTACACCGACTTGCTCTGTCTGTCGGATATGGAAACCGTATGAACTATGAATATATTATATATCTCTCCACTTTCTCTCTAATTTCTCTATCTGGAAATGGCCCGATCGCTCACCAAAACCCTAATCCCTCACGGTGGATTCCGTTTCATCCGCTCTCCGGCGCCGGTGCCGCCGAGCTACGTTTGTTTCCGCCGACTTTTCTCGTCGAAGCCCCAATTTGTTGAGATCGATCTCGATTCATCTTCTCAGTCGGAGGCCAGAGCCGAATTCATCAAGAAGCTCAACGACATGTTTCGGAGGATCATCGTGCACAAGTCGACCCCCGATTGGCTCCCGTTCATCCCCGGCTCGTCGTTCTGGGTCCCGCCTTCTCAGAACGCGGGATCCGAGATCGCCGATTTGGTCGACAAGGTGGCCAATCCGTTGTCGGAGGAAGAGTCCCTCTCCGTCATGTCTCTTCGTGGTTGGCCTAGCTCCTCATTCTTCGTTCCTCCTGGTATGCAAAAACTGAGATTTTCAGCCTTCAATTCTCTGAACAATTTACGATGGTGTTGTTTCCCCCAACAATATACCTTTTTGTATATGCGATTGTTGCTAGATATCCATGGTGATACGTTTGTTATATTCGTTTCGAACAACAGATGATTCTGCTCCTACGGAAGAGGCAGAAGCTGATACGGAGTTTAGCATCGCGGGGAACGAGGAGGTGTTGGAGGTGAAGATCGAGCTCCTTCCGAATTCGGGTGGATCTAAACCCGGAGATGAAGAAAAGTGACAGATTTCTCAAGAACATGGCAAGGTTAAACTCTGTTTCTATCCCTAAGAATCGTCTTTTTATTTGTCTAGATGACAATGCGGTAGAATTTTGGGTTTTGGCATGATATTTGGGTAATATATCCGGAATCTGTGCGGGTAAACAACACTGTTTATGATCATTTCCTGCCTATTATGACAAAACCCAGTTCTGATCCATGAATATACAGGATGGGGGAGAAAGAGATGAGATCTGATTCCGAAGAAGTTGAACTGAACTGGGATAATGTAATGATGTAGATGAAGATGCACACAATCCTCGGAGTTGGCATGGTCAAGATCTCTGGCCGGGTTAGTTCGTTGTGATTTTATTAAGCTCGATACAATGGCTTGCGGATATCTGCCGCTTTCATCCAGAGTCCACGACAATGCAGCCATATAATTTTATCCTTGAGAAGATGCTTCACATTGTTGTAGGTGTTTTTCCTTCAAACCCTTGCCGGTTGTTCTTCTGAATGGTTAATAGAAGTTGTGATCTTTCTCTTTTCATGTACATGAATGACTTTGCATACGGGTGTCAAAACGGGGTGGGCTAGACTGATAGGTCCGTCTATATTTTACCGAGTTGGGTTCAGTAAATTTGATTTAAAAACGTTTGAACGAGTCAACTCGGCGAGTGCACAAGGGTTCGCTAGTTAGAAAAAAAAATCCTTAAAAAATATTCGAGTTAAGTATTTTTCGGATCGGATTGGATTGGACTAAACAAATTCTGAAATCGAGATCGGGCTGGGTCGGCTGGGTCGACCCGTTTTAGGCCCCTGCCCCCCATAGGAACAAAGAATAAAAGAACCTTGGCTTGGATGCAGGAAAATAGGAGACAAGACTGATGTGGAATTTGAGTTTCTGAAACATCGTCTAGGGTTAGGATTAGGTTCAATTTCTGGTCTCGTTCCCTTAATCTGCGGATACTCGATCATTTTCACATCGGTGCCAAATTCAAATCTCACAGAGCAGACACATGATAAGGGCATTTTTATTGATAGCTCACAAGAATACACATGTACAAAGTCCCCCCTCATATGAAACTGAACCACAACTTTCAGGTTGAGATTCTAAGCAAATTCCAAAAAAGACATCCTAACTTAGACCTCTTTAATTCTGCGTTCCTAAAACAATAAAACACTTTACAAAATGCATATACGCAGGTGAAGAAGAATGAACGAATGCAAGCATTGTGGGAAAAGGGCCTTTTGCCTTTCACCTCTCCGACAAAAGATTGCTCATCTTCCGGAGCTCCTTGAGCGCTGTAACGGCAGTGACTTGTCCCTTCCCAACCAAATTGGTCTTTGTTAAACTCTCCATCAATCCTGTCTGTCCTCTTTCTTGCTGGAACACCGACTCTATTACCTGTAAAAACCCAGTAAGAAGTAATCCACATTAAACCCGAAAACTGGTTTCCCGGGAAGATGATGAAGCCCAATCAATCTTTTAACACAATGTTCCTATTTTCTCGGAGAATTTAACATTACAGTATGAGAACTCAAAGAGTAACACTTTCAGCTATTTTCTTGTTTCTGTTGCATTGTCGATACAAACAGAGTAAATGTAAACAGAAGGAAGTTACCTGAATGTGTTCGAGCATGGACTGGCCAAGGTTCTTCAACGTATTCATCATATTCTGGTCTGTTTCTCCTTTGTTGCCAGAAGATGATGCTAGGGGAGAATTTGACCCAGAAGCACAGATCACGTTGCTCTTGCTTCTTTCGACATTATCAGATTTTGTAGCATCGGTAGAATCATTCCTAGTAGAAGTCTCCTCCTCACCAGCCAAATTGCGCCCAAACTTCCAAAACCACTGGAACTTTCCGGGCAGAAGCTTCCGCTCCTTTGCAATGCCCCTCGGTTTTTCATTGGCCTCCTCATGACCTGTAGAGTGAGTTTCCAGTGGCTCATTGCTCAGGTGACAGGAAACAGGAAGAGGCGAATCCACACTTGTCCTTTGACTATTGTCGTTTTCCTCCTGGGAAAAGTTTGACAAAGCACTGCTCTCTGAATCATTTCCGTTATAGTTTGAATCTCTGAGAGGATTTGTTGGATCTGAAAAGATTGACGAACTCTCCTCACTGGGTCCATGTCCACTTTCTTCTCCTGCAGATTGGACGAAATCCATTCTTCTGTCCTCGGTTTCTAAAGGAGGGCTATCTTCTCTACTCATAAACACAGGACACTCACCATCATCTATCGACTTGTCCCTTTCATTAGCTTCCTCAGGGTCAGAACCAAGCTGCCGAGACAAATCTTCAAGCAAGCTCCGTCTCACTGACAATGAACTGACTTTCCTTTTCCCGTTTTCAGTCTTGCCGGGCGATGGGTCAGTTTCTGTCCTCAAAAGCTTTTTCACTTTTGACCACACCCTCTTTCGCTGTGTTGGGCTTTCTTTCTCTGAACCACTTTGCCTTTGATCTTCTTCAGCCTTGTGTAGAACCCTCCATTTCTCCTCCCAATAGCTCTTGGGTGCAATAATCAAAGGAGATTTAGGAGAAACGGATTCAGATGGAAAACTGTTAGCTCTTGCAGCTACAGGACTGCTCTGATAAAAAACACCCTTCATCGATAGGGCTGATCGTACATCAGCATCCAACGCCAAAACCTGTAATGTCTTGGCCTTCTCTATAATCTTGCTGAGGTCAATGTTCTCTGGGAAATTTAATAGTCTCTGGAGACAGGACGTTGCATTCTCAGTAGCAAGCAAGGAAGACCTTAAATATAATATCATTGAAACAGCCATACCCGAAATGAGGGCTCCCCGAGGAGAATCAAGGATCCTGAAAGTGTGGTTTGTGTCATCTGCATCATTTTCATCCATGCTACTACCATTATTTGCTGAGAATATCTCGTCCCATACTATCAAGAGATCCTGAACTGAAAATTCTCGTCCAAACAAAACCCGCAACCAACGAAGCCCAAAGTACTGGGGTTCAACTCCGAGTTCAACCAGATGGCTGTGCAGAGATGAATCAACAACTGATAAAAGATGATAGAATCCAGCACATGCTTCAAGAACAGGAGGCAGCCCGGAATGGGACCCTCTGGCCGGAGAATAAGTAAAGAAGTCAGAAAGGGCAACACAACCATGGGACCCATTCATGAGAGCATCGAACATGCAGTAAGCATCATGCTCCATGAATTTCTCAGACAAGACAACCCCAAGTTCACCTTCGGCCCCATAGGCATCACTCAACATCACAATAGACTGGATTTCAGGATCGAGCTCATCTAGACACTTTACTTTCCTCGACCTTCCCTGAGAGCCAACCTCATCATCCATGGAGTCCAGAAACTTTTTGAAATCAAAATTGTAAGTGTCATCTCTTTCCTCAAAAGACAGACCATCAAATCTGTCAGTGAAGTGATCTTCGTAATCTTTACGCAATCCAGAAAGACACTCAACATCAGCATGAAGAACGTAGAGCAGGGGTGCCAAAAGCTCATGCATTCCTCTACAGTATCCCATCAATCAATTCCATCAATACGAATCCTCAAATCACCGCATCGGTGCAAAATTGCAAAGATGTAATAGACTTAATGTCTTAATCACCTAATGCCAAAATCATTCTGTTCATAAAGACAGGTAATTTGAGCGCAAACAAACAATTAGAATATCGCTCCAATCAGTTTACCCATATGAAACCAAAAATCGCAGAACTTGAGGTGCGGAATCGCAAAAGATGTGATATACTTAATTACCGATACTAAAATCATCTACATGATTATCAATTCCGAATTTGGATTCCTAAGGATCACACGCCATCACCAAAACCAATGCCCTGGAAACCATCAACCGATCTCAACAAATGAAAACTGAAACGTATCCTCATACACACCTCAAATCATGGAGTAATGAACGCATCGAACTGATTCCTCCTCCACATCAGTGACCGCCATGCTCCTTGGCATGCTGCTGATGCTCCAGGTGGCGGCGCTCGTGGGGAAGAGCGACAAGGTACGAAAGGATCATGCCACCGAAACAGACATGAAGGAGAGGATCAACGGAGCTGGTCTGAATGTACTTCTCGTTGTAATTGTCGAGACCTCTCTTCACAGAATTCTTGATGTAAAAGGTAATAATATTTAGTCCATAGGCAAGAAAAAGAAAACAAAGGATGGCATAGACTACCTTGTTTATACCCATGCTCTGGATGCTTAAGGCACCACAACAAAAGAATCCGTCTTAGCATGCCTTGGAACCCAGCCGCTTGGAAATAGCTCCCATGCTCTGGATATAACCTCGATAAGTCTTGATCAACAGTTTTCTCCAACTCAGCATTGCGGAAGAAGCAGCCCCATGTGCTATCTGCGTAGAGATTCTTCAAACTTTTCAGTCTAATAAAACGTTAAGAATTCGAATGATCGTAAGATAATGGAGTTCATTAGCATTCATGGATACAACAATCAAAAAGATAATTACAAGATGTCCACTGCAACGGGTAAATACGGGGCCTATACGTGTATACTGAAAACCGATACACGCATTTTCAGGAATAAAACGAGATTACTAAACATAATGTATATAGATGCCTCGGGACAGTACTAGTTCTTGCAGTGCAAGAAAACATAGATGTTACCTGGGTTTTGTGATAAGGGATTGTCAATGGAGAGATCTGGGGAATTGTTTCCATCCTTGGATACATGTGGATCTATCAGAAGCCGTCTTCTTAAAGATGCATATCTACATGACAAGAGCAACACAAACACATACATACATAATGAAATTGCTCTTATCAACAGACTCATAAACCCTAGAGGCTCAAGTTCTGTTAAATATTGATTATTGGGTCTTTGTTTGCGATCAGAAAGCTACCTTCGGCGAGAATCAGCTGTTACTCTGCGAAAATCGTCGATGGTAGAAGCCGGAGACGGAAGAACACCAAGATTCACGCGCCACCGCACTCCCCTCAAATTGGCAAAGCGACTATCGGACACATCGGTTATCGGAGATTCCGTCATCGCCTGCTCGATTTCCGGTGGAGCTATAGAGTTTTCTGTCTCTTTAGCTTTCTGAGTATCACGAGTTTACCCGCAAATGAGGGAAGTATCCGGGAAAGTTTTAGAATTTTCCAGGAAATCAGAGTTTCCCGGAAAATCAGTCAACCTATGACAAGTCGGATGCAATCCGTAATTAAAGACTTGCCTTTCTGAAACAGCTAATAAATCCAGCGTATGCGTGATAAAATTCCTCCGATGAACAACACCAGAAATAGAAATCGAAATGGAAAGAAAGCGAACGGAAAGCGGGTGGAAATCCAAATGCAAATCGAATCTAAAGGAATCGAGTTGGAGAGATTGTGCAGCTTTGTCTCTCTCCCCAAAAGAGAGAGATTACGTGATGGGTTTTCAGCACCTCCATTTTTTTTCTTAAAAAACTTTTTTGTCCTCCCCCTACTTGTTAATTTTCGACCAGATGATGATGATGATGATGATGTGAAACTCATATGTGTATTACCACATTTTTACCATAAGCTATGATTTTGTTAATTGTTAGCGATAACATATGAACAATCACTGATGACCTTTGGAATTTATGTATAATAATATAAGGCAAAATAAAATTATAAGAAAAACAATAATTGGAATTTTCTTGGGGGGGGGGTTCATAGATGTAATAATGTGCAAAAATTAGTGAGGTAAATATTGTTCAAAATACACTCATTATGATATCATAATGTGGATTTAATGACCACCTATTTAATATTGGTAATATGAAAAAAAAAATTAGCTGAATGTTACATTAAGTCCTGCCTTGCCAACAAAAATTAAAAAAAAATACAAATATTTTTGTGTAAATTATTTAATGATTTTATACTAATGTCACCACTCTACAAAAAATTGGGAACACAATATTATACATGTACACAACTTATTTCATAACACGGATTAAATTTGTTGCTTCTGAAATACATATTTGTAAATGTTTTGGATTAGTCGAATGTTCATATAATCAATCATTTCCATATCCATGATTAGTTTGAAGTAAACATTATTCCGATATTCGATTATAAGAAAAGATAAAATACTTTTACAATATTAAAAATATATAACAATGGTCTTGCTCTGTGGATATAATCAAGATTAATAATATTTGTGATAATAACATTTCGGTAAAAAATCGCAAAAAAAAAAAGTTAAGAGGAAATTCTCTCCCCGTGTGTACGAAAAGTCGTATTGTCTTGTATGCGTGGATGCGTGGATGCTGTAAGGTGCCATCAAAAATAGCCAAAAAAATATGGAACTTGTGTTAGGAAAAGTCTGTCCATCAAATTTAATTTCCCCATATTTTAATTTAGTATAATGTGACATATATTATTATTATTGATATTTCTGTGCTTTTCCCACGTCAGTCTTAATATTCCGCGCCATAGAGAGGCTTACACGTGGGTCATCTCCACCACCTCGTTTTTTTTTTACATTGGGGAATCTGCCCTGCAACTCTTCAGCTCGGACACCGGACACCGTAACGTCTCACAGTCCAATAGACCAGAAGAGGACGGCATTAGTACAGCATCGCGGATCAAGAAAAACCCCAAGTCATGCACACGAGCCTACAACACACACGTGGAAGGTAAATCAGCCGTAACTAACAAACGACATTTGAGAGGCAAGGAGACGGCGAGGAATCGAACCCCCGACCTTATGGTTTCCCCCATGGTTTACATTTGACAAACAAACAAATATTCACGTAACATAATATATTCCATTGATGATCTTTTTCTATGCCTTGTGAATTTTTCATGTTCTTCCGATATTGAATTCATCTACTAATATATCATCATAAACACCATCAACCGTAAAGGGGATAATTTTTCGGTTGGGAGGGTGTTGTTCTCTGGACCCCGTCGTCGGGCCCCTAAAAACTGCTTCCGGATCTAAGTAGATATAGGTTAGGCCGAAGGCCCAAGTGAATCTCCTGATTAACAAAAAAAAAACCGTGAGGGAGATCGTGGTGTGAGAGAGTTATGAGGGGGATCGGTTGGGTAGAAAAGGGAGAAATGAGAGTGAGTGTCGGAGGATAAGAAAATCGGGAGTTGAGAGATGAGAGTAAGTAGTGTCTAGAGAGCTTAGGTGTTTTGGTTTTTAGAGTTTTTTTTTTTAATTATTCGGGTTTTAATTTTTTTTTATAGATTTTCTGTCAATTTATTAACTGATCCAGAATTTTTAACTGATGTGGCATATATACGTATACATTTTTCTGGTGTATCTTGCAATGTCAACCAAGTTTTTAACGGGATTGTGTTACATTTTACGTCGTCACACTTTTTTTGATTTTGTATTCCGGTATAACTTTTGGTCAAGTTAAAAACTGATGTAAGAAAAAAGAACATGAAAAAAAATCGTGGAGAAATATGGGATTTTTCTAAAATAATATAATATACATGGTAATATTCAATGAAACTTTTATGAATATGTACATGTAAATAAATGGTTAAAATGACAGTGTATATATATATATATAAAAAGCAAAATACATAAATTGTATATATTTGACTCAACAATACGAAGCCCTAACACCTAATGATTTAGATATATAAAATTGGAATTTGGTTGTAACGAATGAAATGTATCAAATTATTGAAGATGTTTTTAGTCTCGATTCTGATTTTACTTTTCTGCAACTTTGGTTGTTGAATAATGTCCGAGTCTGTTGCTTAGTTGATTGTGTTTCTGTTACAAGGACCCTAAACTTGCTCACCCAGAAGAGCATCAATTGCAAATCAAAATCGCCATTCTCTCTCCTTCAATTAATTGTTTTTCTTATTCATTCTATCAGTTTTCTCAAAATGAAAAATCGGAAAAACAAATACACGAGTTCTTGATTAATTTCTAACAATTATTAAAGGTAAACCATGTTAAAATTCTCAAATTTGTAAAAAAAAAGAATGGTGGAGAAAGAATTCATTAACTTTTCGTTTTTATTTTAAAATCTACAAAATATATTATTATAATTCTTAATACCACGATGATATCATACTTTGTGATGGGACCTGTAATTGTGCGTTTGCCGTGCTCCTCTCAGTAGTAGAGGACTTGAGCAACTCATTTTGATATATACACACAGATGAGATTTGAGTGCTCCCTCGGGATTTTTGAAAAACTTTTGGCAACAGAAATGAGATTTTGATGTGAATGAGAGTGTTGTAAAAATATTATTTTCTTCAATAAAAGCCAAATCAAATCATACCGAACAGGTATAACGTTTTCAGACATTGAAACTCAAAAAAAAAAAAAAACATAAAACCCGAGATGGCCAGCCCTACTAGCAAAACAAAATTCATACAAAATAATCCCTTCAACCCATTTTGGATCATCTTGGAAGACGACAACAAATCCAGTTATGTCTTATCATGAGGTTACTTGTTTAGAAAACGAAGACAGACAATATATGACAATGATATATCACCAACCGTATTTGGCTTGAGTCTCGGCTTTGGTGAGCAAACCCCTGGAACGTCTCTCCGCTAGCTCCATCTCCTTCTGCTTCATGTCGAAGTATAATGCCGTAATCTGATGCTTCCTCTTGTGAAGCTTCGTTGGCTTCCCCTTTGATGGTGCCGGCTGCATTTTATAAACAAAATGCAAACAAACTCACACCCAGCCCGCCATTGGTGAATTATGCAACAAAACTCTATCCAGTATGAATCTTGTGTTCTTAATCCAGAAACAAACGACAAAAGCCCGGATGTCAAAATGTTATTGCAAGTACGGGAAAGACCCTAGCCCTTGTCTGTTTAGATCTTTTCCCTGCCCAAACTCAAACTGCAAAAAACATCGATAAGGCCATTCCTCAAATACGGAATGCTCTGTAAGTTCTCTAATGGAATCTCCTACAAGTACAAGCTTAATTCATATCAGCAAAATCAAGACAAACCCTACCGACAACAACATCCAATATCTTAAACCACAAATCTATGAAAAGTGTAGAGATTGATGGTAAGCATACCTGATAAGCAGGACCAAAGGCGATTCCAGTTGACTTAACCTGGTCTTCCCTTGGCCTATTCTTCATCAGCTCATCTTGCTTCACCTCGACTATCTGAGGCGGCATATCTTTCTTACCTCTTCGAGCTCTCTTCACTGCACTGTCAATGGCTCCCACAGACTCGGGCAATCCCGTTGTCGGGTCAAAACCACTTCCACCAGCCCAAGTATTCCCATACTGGTCACCATAACCAGCATTACCTCCATAGCTACCATCATACCCACCAATGCCACCATAACCAGAAGCATCGCCACTAGCACTAGCATTCGGATCATAACCAGCATACCCAGAAGCATCACCACTAGCGCTAACATTCGGATCATACCCACCATAGTAATTATCCATTCCTGATGCATAACTCTGAGCACTTTGATCCATTCCCGACCCATAATTCGCATAGTTTGTGCCACTGTTGGTATTAAAAGATTGATGATCCTCATGACTTGATGCGTTATGATCACTACCTGATTCCGCCATTAAAGGTGCTTCTGTCTCAATTATGGATCTCCGACCCGAACCCGATGAAGGAAGGACACCAAGGGTTGCGGAGCTCTTCGGAGCCGGCATGGCCGACAAGAACGATTTCACCGAAGAATCGTGTGATGCCGCAGATTCCATCTGCCTCCGCTTCTTCCTCTTTTTATCATCTTCATCTTCCTCGTCTTCATCATCCAGATTGCTCAGTCTAGGGTTCACCGGAAGTCTGATCTGTACAACGCGTTTGGGCGGAGCAGGAACAGAATTCGACGAAGCGGAACAGGATTGCTGAGACTTTAGAGATTTCGGAGGAGGAAGAGAAGATAAAAAGGAAGAAGACTTTCCTTTACCGGAATATGAATCCAAATCTCCATCGGAAGAAGTTTTAGGGTTTCTCGGTTGAGGGAGAGCCGAGAAGAAAGACGACGATGACGAAGCAGAAGGCTTAGGGAATTTCCCAGTGAACCTTTCTTCTTTCGGCTTCCGTTCTTCTTCTTCGTCGGAAGAAGCGTAGTTTGCTACCAGAGACTCCATGGGGGGAGAGATAGAGAGGGACGAGGAGGAAGGACAACGAAGCTCGGAGCCTCCTGGGTCGGGAAAGGGGTTAGTAATTCGAAGAAACACTGTTGGGCCGAATGAATAGGCCCATTTAAGGTCCAATAATGTGTTAGTGGGCTCAAGAAATTATGGCTGATCGAAGGGAGAAATGAATCGCCGGAATAATGGGCCGAGTGATCAAGTCAGGCCCAATTATCTCTTCGTAGGCCCAATGAGTAATGTGATGGGACTCGAACTGGACCGTGGATCTCAAACACGATATTATTTTATTTTATTTTCAAGAACATGAAGCAAGAAACCTTTCTGTTCACAGAAACTGAGACATTTTCATAAGCAATATACAAAAAACCATTAAAAAAAATTATATATATATATATATATATATATATTAACGTAGTATCCGAGGATATATCCGGCATGAATATATTGATGCGGAATATATAAAATCATTACATACATATATTACACGGATACTCTCTCTGTGGATCAGAAGCTCATAGGACTGCCATAGCGAGAATCATTGAAAGCTGCAATGGCTGTGTGGATCTTGGCCTCCAGTATAGCTCCCTCTTCTTCCTCCACCTTCAACAAAATATCGAAACGACGATAATAATAATAATTTACCCAAAAATAATTATGATAAAAAAAAATGTATTTCAATTGGAAACAATATGATTGTGTTATGTGTGGTTTGAATTCGGTCAAGACTGCGCACATTACATATGACTTTGATGATTAATAGTAATACGCAAGGGAAATCATACAAATTAATTATATATAATGATTGATGCCAAATATTTATAGAAAAAAAAATCATTTTATTTTACAAATGATTTAATTAGCGGTACCAAATAAAGACAGGTGGACTAAATGATTTCTTCACCTACTCCTCCATCCATTACGAATATAATATTTTATTACGGATTTCTCTCGAGACCCATGACTTAAACAACAGTTCTTGTAAAAATAATATTATACTATATGCCGAAATATGCACAGTGTAAGTGTATTAATTCAATGACACGTTGAACACCAAACCATATGTCAAATCCAACCCAAATATACATGTTTCTAAACCCTCTACCGCATAATTTTAATATATATATATGATATATACACACACACACACACACTCTCTTTATTGATTTTATATGAACTAAGTAAAAACTTGAAAACGAATTTTAGTGTATATATCGATTGATATAAGAAATGATGTAGTTTTCACCAAATAGAGATATTGAAATTGAAAAGCAGGTGTTTGAAAGATGAATGAGAAAGGGAAAAATATTAAAAAAATGAGTGGAGCATTTGAAAATGCAATTTAATTCATATGATAAAACGTGTTTTTAATGCGTTTATATTTTTCCTACAATAGTCGCTCCGACCACGCGCCTACGCGCCGTGAGGCACGTCCGTTTCACACGGAATAAAAGTAAGAGTTTTATTTTTTCAACACATAGATTAGTTTACTTTAGGGTTTGATATTAAGCACATTTAATTAACTTTTTAAAGAATCTAATCAAAAGGCGATGGTCACAAGGACATAATAATAACTGGAAAGCATTATTGATTACTTTTGAATTAAAATAATTCCTATCATTAAATACTATAATATAATAATAAAAAGAGGATGAAATAATGTATATGAATATGTATATTGAAGAAAAGTGAATAAATTAGAGTAATAATAGAAGGGAGACAAGTGGGTCCAAATTATAATTTAAATGGGTCCTTTTCACGTTTCCCTTTGTAAATCTGCAATTATTTTTATTTGTTTTTTGTAAGAAGAGTTATAATTTATGTTAATTAAAAACAATATCTCACTTTATTAAAGCACTCCACAAATCTCGATATGCTTTGTCTTTACGTGTTATTTTTCAACAATTTTTCTTTAAATAAATTTTATGTCCTACGAAATTTTATATATATATATACACACACACATCACTATTCTTAGAGTGTGCAATAAGCAAACTAACCATAACAGCAAGCGAATTATACAAGTAAAAAAAAAAAATTCTAAAATCTAATACAATTACCAAAACAAAAAACGTGTTAGTGTGTTAGATGGGTTATACATTTTTAATTTTTTTTTTATAAACATAAACTTTTAATTTTATGTGTAATACAAAGTGATGGATTATATATTAATTGAGAATTAAAAAAAAAAAGGGGGGGAAGAGATCGAGACCTCGAGGAAGAGAGTGTTGGAGAGGCGACCGGAGAAGGAAGAGATGTTGGCTGTGATGATTTTGAGGTTCAGAGACTCGAAGACTTCGCATAGTCTGACCATTGTGTCCCTCTTCTTGCTGCATGTTATGCACACCACTCCCGTCTTCTCTCCCATGCACGTCACCTTCAACTTTTTTTTATTATTTAATTTAAAGTATATATGTACACAAACAAAATCCCCAAATTAGTCCATGGTATCCAAATTATATATAAAATCCGATTTTTTCGTTACACTATGTAGTTATCATTTGTTCGGATATTGAAATCTAAAACCATATATATATTCCAATTTTATATTCCGACACGATATATAAAATATAAAATTAATATAAATATATGACATAACATTACACCCAAATTTAGATAGTTCAAACCGGTGAAACTGGGTGCAAATCGTCTGTCCCACCCGAGTTTGAACTTCAAATTTGGAGAGAGAGTGTATAATCCAATTCATATCGTTGACTTCTATCCCCTCTAGATTAGTTTAGATCTTGGTTCATAATAACTGATTAACAAAAAAATTTACATAACATTAGAAATCTTTTTTTTAAGTGTGCACCTTAATCATGTCCCAAATCATTGTTGCAAGAAGTCATAATATCCGGATCCAAGGATAAATGAACCAGAAAAACGACAAATGGTTTAAATAAAATTAATAAATATAAAAAGAAAATATACACTAAAAGACAAAAAGCATAATTAATAACAGTGATCAAGAGTCAATAAGAGAGTTAATTAATTAGCTTATTATATATGTATATATATGTATATGTGTAAGTATATGCGCTTACTTCTAGGATTTCGATGGGAGAGGAGCGTGCTTTGGTCTTCCCCGAGGGAAGAAGCTCTTGATGATATTGATAACTAAGAGCGTAATTATCGTTATAACCATTTGTGGGGTTTCTATAAGAGGAGGCTAATGACTCGAGTTCTCTTATCTCCGCTTCAAGCCTCTTCTCCTGCTCCCGCAGTTCTTCGATGTATGCTATCGAATCTCTTATCACCGATGCCTTGTCCAACTATATGTGTATACATTAATCCACTAATTTTATTAATTCAATTAACGCAATTAGTAATTAATCATATACATATATATATATGACATGCCCTGTGTCAGCACACAAACTCTCTCACATTGCAACTTGTCACCTTTGGTACTTCAGGAAGGAAACTAAGATGATAAAATTTGGTTACCTTAATTATTTACAAATACTTTTTTTTGGTAATGTATTTACAAATACTTAGATAAACACTCGAGTCATTGCTAATTTTTTTATTATTATATAATAATTAAAAAAAAGCGCACACACACACACTCTCCTCCTTAAAAATGCGTTGGATATAGAAATACAGAGAATTATATTCATATATATAGGAGAGAAAATCTTAGTTAGGGTTTTGATTGTATATATATATACATATATATCTCTACCCATATATATATATAGAGAAAAGTTACCTTGCTGATGTTGGGGACGACAGATCGGAGAGCGAGGAGTCTCTGGTTGAGGCGGTGGCGTCTGTTCCTCTCCGACAGGACATTCTTCGACGCCGGCGAAGTGGCTGCTCCGTCCGGCGAACTGGACTCCCCTGATCCCGACAGCGCCTCCTCGAACGCCCAACTGTTTATTAATTACGATTCAACCCCGAAACTTAAAAAAAAATTAATATCACCCAGATTTTTTTTATAAAAAAAAACGCTGGAAAAAATAAGCAAAAGTAGAAGAAGGAAAAAACCTGTCGTATTCGAGTTCTTCGTTCTGGAAGAACATTGTGGTTTCCCAGTAGTTCTTGTACTCGTCGCCGAAATTTTCCATTTTCAGACAAGATCAAGAAACCAGAGAGATGCTTTTCTTGGTATATATGGATCTCTCTCTCTCTCCTTCTTCTTCTTGTGTTTTTTGGTTGGTTGGTTGGTTGAGAATTACAACACCTGATGGGAGATTTTATAGGCGGAGGAGTCAGAGAAAATCAAATGGGTCATCATTGAATAGGGAGAGGCTCAGAAATCAGGATTTAAAGCACGTGGTGTGTTTGAGATCTCAATCTCCTTAGGTAAGACCAATCCTCACCGTCCATTTCGGAGACCAAGATCTTGGCATGTGGATACGAATACTTTTATTTCTTATTTTCTACACTTTTTTTTTGTCTCATATATATATATTCCATTTCCATCTTCATATTTACAAAAAAATATGGTAATCATATTATTATGTTTTATATTTAATTCGATTTTTTTATTACACTAAGAATTCTATTAAAATTAAATTATGTTTTATTAAGAGTTTATATATATAACATTATCTATGTAAATTGACTTCACTATAATAATTAATAATTAAGGATATCGATGGGGTTTTTTATACAATAATCATTATTACTCATCATAATCGAATGTGTTCAAATAGATAATTTATTTTTAATAAAATTTAAATATTATAAAAATCAAACTAAATAATAATAATAATAACAATGTAAGTTCAAATTTTCTATAAGTTTCAATAAAATTAAAGATGTTTTGGAATAAATAAACAATGAAACCAAAGCTAAACCAAAATGGAAAAAAATCATTACAGTTACAAATTAACAAAAAAAAATAATCAGATTTTCTATTATTTATATTCAGTATGGTCAATGTGAACATATTTTTAAAGAAGATTAAAATCTAATATATACCAACATAATGGTTATGCGTACGTGTGTGTATATGTCACTACTATGTGTATATAAAGGACAATTGTGATTGATTGATTGATGCATTATGTACCTTTTTAATAATATTCGAATTTCAATTTTTTTAATAATGCATTTGAGTCACACAGATTCTCTTTTTGTCTCTTATATCGACTGCAACAAAATCAGGTTTTGAATCAGCACTGATTCGGGGATTTCAATCCACATATTGTTGCTAAATAATAATAATGATGATGATGATGATGATGATAATAATAATAATAATAATAATATTTTTTCGATGCACAATCTTGCTGAATCATTAAATGTTCAAATCTAACTATATCTAATAATTGAAAATACATTTAAGTCTACGATATTCTAAAATTAATTATGCATGAAAAGTTAATATAGTCCACGTTATATCATTTTCAATAAAAAAAGTTAAACACACCTTTAATAAAGCAATGGCCTATAAGTTTTGGTTTATCTTGCAATTTGGATATTATATATATATATATATATATATATATATGTGCAGTGAAAAAGAAAATAAAAACGTGGGATATTCCAAAATCTAACTCCAAATACAACGCATCCGATGTTGTCATGTAGGTAACATCCTCTCTGCCCCCAACAAAAAACAAGAACATCAACTGTGTTTTGAAAGGATTTGTTTTGCTATTAATCTTCATCCAATATTTTTCATATATCAAATCACTCTTTTGTCGGAATGTTATCAGATAATTTCGTCGGTCCAAATCTATGATTAAGTAGCATTCCTTGGATGTGTACCAAAGAGAATGAATTCAATATGTTAAAACCAATGTGTGAAATAGACAGTTTTTGCTTTGTATTAATTGAACTTTCACATTCAACTAAAACATTGATGATCATCTATTGGCATTTAGTGTGTATATATATATAAATAAAAGTTGACAAATTAAACTGCATGTCAAGATTTACGGAATAAAACTTTATATCAACAAATGGAGTTTAATTTAAATATATAACATAGTTTTCCTTCACAAGAATTCCTAATTTCTATTATAACATGATAAGGATATATAAATCCAATCCAAATATAAAACACATTAATATCAAAACTCTACATAAACCGAAATTCTTCATAATTGTAAGCTCATACGTGGTAACACGTATGAGATTGGACGACTCAAAGTTCAACTTCAATGTTTTTTTTTTGGAATAGATGTGATTGTGTATTACTCATAGAAAGGGGTTACAAAAGAATTTACAAAACGGATTCCCATGTTAATGGTAAACAAAATACAGCTGATTTGCTGCTCAAATCTCCAAATCTATCTTAGGCTTGTTGTAATGAAATACCAATCTTCCAGTAGACTGTTGTTGCTAGGGCTGCTACATAGCTGTAGAGACAGCAAGAGAGTTCTCATATGACGGTTCAGCTTGGCACACGTTTCTTGAATTGATCTCGACTTTGCTTTAAATATTCGAGCATTACGTTCCTGCCATACAATGTCTACAACCATATGTGCTAGCAATTTCGAAAAGAGTACCCGGTTTCTGCTATTATCATTGTTCGGTCTAGAACGCCATTCTTGACATTGTTCAATGTCTAAAGGTGGGCATTCCCAACAACATTCTGCATATGGAGTCCATACCCCCGAGCTATATGAGCATGCGAAAAAGAGATGAGAATGGCTCTCATTTTTCCGGTTGCATAGACAACAAATAGGGTCAACCTGCAATCCCCATCGAGAGAGACGGTCTCTAGTTGGTAAGCGTTTCAGGAATACCTGCCACTGTAGTAGACATAACCTCGGTGTTGAGTACTTCAGCCATACATTGTTGTACCATTCCGCTTTGTCGCCCGGAGTCCTGATTTGATCCCAAGTGCGCGCTGAGGAGAACCAGCGTTTGAAGGAGTCTGCTTTATGCTTCCAGAGGATTATGTCATCGCCTTGTGCCTCATCTGGTGGGGTAATAGTTGCTAGAGTAATCTGGATCTGTTGTAATGCTTCTGATCTGGCGCCTGGCAAGTTCCAGCTTCCTCTTGATGCCGCTTCTGCTACCGTCGCTTGCTGGTGAATTCTTAGCTGACTCGGTCCAATTCCTCCAGTAAGAGAGATGAATGGCCTGAGTTCTGTCCAGCTATCGTGCCAAAAATTGGTAGCTTTCCCATCTCTGACTTCATGCTTAATGAAGGAATGCGCCTGATGTCTGTTCAACTTCAATGTTTATTATAGAAAGACGACAATACTAACATACGCATAAAAAATATCGTTCACTGACAAAAATATAAACGACCACTGACATTGTATACATGCAAATACGTAAAAGAAAAATTGTTGACGAAACTATGGAGGAGGGAATAAAATGCAACAAACATCTTTGTTGTTTTTTTAAAAAAAATGACTTTGAGAGTTATGAGATAAAACAAAAAAATAAAAAAAAATCAATAGAAAACCACACAATTAACTTATTATTTTTCAAAAACAGAAGTTTCAACGTGATATTATCGATGAAAATGACATATTATCAAAGATAATAAAATCTCAACCCCTTAAAATGTAACCAAACTATGATATTATGTCAAGTTTTGTGTAATAGAACTTTTTATATTATTGATAACCGAATAAAGTTGAAATATATACAAAATAGTCTTCTTTTTTTAGAATTCTTAATTCTTTTTTTATTATTTTAAAAATTCACCAGATCTTCAATATAACTATATCTTCCAAAATCCTCCCAAAATCCGAATATATTATGTATATAACAATTAAATTGTACACTTTCTCCCCAATCACTATTCGAACATAGGATTTAAGATAAAGATACCATGTATCATTTTCAACCAACTATACCATTGGATCACCACCGATTGTATCCACGGATTGGGTAAGAATTTATAATTCTTATCATAACATGATAAGAATATCCAATCCAAATAAAAAACAATTAATATCAAAATTTCAAATAAACTAAAACTCTTCTAATTCCCTATATAATGAAGAAATGGCTCAGAAGATCAAAATATTTTTCTTCTTTGACACTCATATAATACACCCATACACACACACATATATATATATATATGTATATATGTATGTGTGTAAATAATGTCACCGGTTCGAGAATCGCCGAAATTGGTGTGCGTGCGTCTACACTTAAACAGTCGATTTGGTGTAAACCATGAGGAAAACGATTCTCCCGTTTGTTTTCCGGGTTGACCCGGTCCACGCACATTTTTCTCTGTAGGACCCGGTTTGATTTTATTTTCTACTTTATATTATTTTCGAACCCTCATCAAAATGCAATATATACCTACACACACATATATACAATATTTATACACACACAAATATATATATAATTTCGGCAGATCCACCAAAACCTGGGTTTGTCGGGGTTTTATTTGTCGAAGAAAATTTAGTTATTGTTTCAATCATATCGGTAAGATATTATTTTTTTCGAAGCAAAGGTCATTTATTACGTAATTAAGGAAGAAACGCAGACAAACATTGAATTGAGCATTTATATTTGGAACTTAGACAACCTGTCAACTAAACAATTTATTATATGGTCGGAGATCTATATAATTGTAACATGTAAATAGTTATATATGATTTTAAGACATAGTAACTCTTAAGCTTTTTATATTTTTATAATTTTCTTCTTCTTTTAATTTGAGATATCAAATAGTTGGGTATTTGGGTTCGTGGCAAGGAGTTGAGAACATCAACAATGGTTGAATTTACCAAAAAAAAAAAAAAAAAAAAAAAAAAAAGTTCGTGAATGTTATTTAAATTTTTCTCGAAATTCAAAGTATATTGTGAGGGAATTAGTTTAATCTAACTGTATAGATTTTTGACTTCGATCTCTCACTGATTTCACTCCGATACTCGTTTGTATCAAAGAACAGAAAGAGAATCGACACGAGCGAGATACGAGTTCGGTCACCGAACTAAAGCTCGGACTTACGTCTCGAAAAGAAGAAACCGCGTGTTTCTGCTAGGATTACAACAAGAGGAACCACCAGACACCGTCGAGCGGGACTGGAAAATACCGAGGAAAGCTCACCGAACACACACCCAAATGCAAAAAACAGTTCGAATGAAGACGAAGACGAAACCCTAAGGGTTTCATTAAATATGCTGACAATGACGGAATTGTCTCTCCATCCATATGAGATCCTCCACTTCGTTCAGAGGCTTTGGGACCTTCTACCCGACCCAGTGGGTTAAACGGAAGACTCCACAAATCTCCACCTTCTTCAACAAAACCTGCAAAAGAAAACACGAAACAACACAAATATATAATGCCAAACATGAACCTAGCACGTTGTCGCTTCCCGTCTACCTCCCGACATATTCTAGGCGTATCAAACATATCGTTCTAATAGAGTTCTTATCGAGCGTACCATAAGTACGTCTCAGCGCGAATAAACAATATAAACACGCAACCTATTCTACCCAAAACGAGTGTCTTCGACACCTTTCGTTTTCCAAAGACTAGCTAACGACCTCGAATAGTTATGATTCCCTAGACCGTCTATATAACCCTCTCCGATGAAGTTCGAGACTTCACCTGTGCACCCTTAAGGGTTAACCCCGACATGTACCGGTCTCCCGAGTTAACCCGACTTCCCCGAAACTAACCCGAGCCATACTATCGAACCTGCTAGAAAACCTAGCTCTGGATCCACGTAGAGTCTACCATACATATGAGTGTGACTTCTACCCTCAAATCCTAACCTGCCAACTAAAATTGTCCCACGGTTTTTTCCCGTGAAGACGCTCCTAGTCATCTACGAATGCTCCACCGAGAATGAGACACGTGAGTGCACGTGCTCCACCCCGAGAGAGAGTGTCCTAGCACTCCAACCTACACCGACTCTACCCAGTGAAACCGACACCTCCCAACTCACACCATCTCCTGAACATCCTACCCGAGGAAACTCCACCTAAATGTAGAGACCTCACCTCCTGACCTACAACCGAGAACCGAAACGACTTCGGTTTACTCTTCTGAGGCCAATACGCCCTTCTACCTTAGACTTTCCCTTCCTCGTCATCCGAGACCTATAACTTCTCGTTGTAGTGTCCCTATCTACCCATAGAACCAATCACTCCATCCGGTCATTGGCCTTCTCCAGCAACCCGATTTCTCGGGTTTGCCCTAGATCCCTAGTCCTTCCATCATACCCCATTTCGGGATATTCCGAATTAGAAAATCTAACTCCATCATCTGAAGATGATAAAACCCGAGTCTAAGCTGACTCTACCTAGAAGTGACTTAACCGACCCCTAGAAATGATGTAACATGATATGAGGGATGAGACCGAATCCTAGAGGACTTAACCCTAGATATATTTCTACCTAGACAGACCTAATGATCACTGATATCAGCCTATAAGACTTACCTTTAGGTATATTTCTACCTAGCCGTGTTGAACACACTCTAATCCTAGTCTATCGGTCCTAAACCTATGTATGTCTCTACCTTCTCAGACCTTCTAGAATCAAAGAACACGACCTAACTAGACTTAACCTATGTACTTTTACCTAAACTGATCTAACAGACTTTAAACCAAGCCTAACCGGACATCACCCTAGATACATTTTACCAAACCGATCTAATAGACTTCAGACCAGACCTCTGATTGAACTTAAACCAAGATATATTTATGTCTAACCGACCTATTAGACTCTTATACGGACCTGATTGGACTTATCCTAGACATAATTTTACCTAACCGATCTATTAGACTCGCTAAACAACCTACTTTAAGACCTGATTACGTCTAATCAGACCTAACTCAAGGCTAACCTGACCTGATTACGTTTAATCAGACCTATAGCACCGAGTCTACATAGCCCCCAACAAAGTCCTAATCAGTCTTAAAACATCGAGTCTACTTGGTCAATCACAAAGTCCAATCAGATCTACCTCAAGTACTATTCAGACCCTTAACAACCCTAGTTAGACAATGAAAAGTCCAAATTAGACCAGACACCTAATCAGACCTAAACCAATCCTAATTGACCTAACCAACCTATGATTATTTACCCTAAGTCCTAGTCAATCACCTAAAAGTCCTAATAAACAAATCTAAACCAACCCAAATTGACTTACCAATCCCTGATTAGACTTTTAGTACCCTAATCAGACCTAAACTAAGCCTAATATGATTTAATTTCCCTCTGATCAGACCCTAACAATGCCTAGAACCATCCCCCACAGACCTGTTCTGATCTAAACCGACCCCTACAGACCTATACCTAGAGAGTCTAGACTGAACCAACTTCTAAATCACCTCGTTTTAGCCAAATTCCAACTATTCAGACTTAACTGGTCAAAGTACCAGACTCTATGACTCAAAACAGACATTCAGAAGTTCTATCCAGCCCTAAACTAGATAATACCTAAGTCTACAACCAAATTTTTAATCTGATCAGACATAGACAATGTCTATACAGACCTTATAAACCTCTAATCAGACTTAGCCAAACCTAAATGGACTTAATTAACTTCTGATCAGATCTAGACTAAGCTAGACCAACCCAATTTGGTTTAAACCAGACCTAACCAAGACCTAAACAGTTCTTACAGATCTATACCGACCTAAACCAGTCAACTTCAGAGCTATACCAACCTATTTAAATCTAACATGATCTCCTACCCAGCTAAACTTAGTCAAACCCAACCTATTCAGACCTACACTGAATAGAAAACAGGAATCCATGACTCTCATTAATTAGCTCTACGAGATCTAATCAGGCATAACCCTAGTGAACTTTACAAAACCAAGCCAAATTAGATACTAAATCGACCTAACAGGGTAAACCGATCACCACAACCTCTAAGATACCCTAACCTAGTCGACTATACCCTAAACCAGACACCATCAGACCTAATTTTGACAAATCACACCCTAAACTAGGTAATTCTAGTCATAACCAGATACTCTAGACCCTAAACCGATCAAATCTAGTCCTAATCAACCAACTCAGACCCTAAACCCGATCAATACTAGCCCTAACCAGATAAATCAGACCCTAATAGACCTATACCAGCCTAAACCTATATGAATTTACCTAAACGCGAACCCAATTGGCCTAAACAAGACAATTCTAGCTCTAATTGGACAAACATACCCTAAATTAGACCTAAACAGTCTAAACCGACCTAAATTGACCTAAAACCAGATCCTATCGATCTAAACCGTACAATTCTAGCCCTACCCGGACAAGTTTAGGGTTTAGGGTAATCTAGGTCCGATTTAGGTCAAATCAGACTGGTTCAGACCTAAGCCGGTTCGGGTCAATCTAGGTTTGATTTAGGTCAAATCAGACTGGTTCAGACCGACTTAGGTCTAATTAAAGCTCTGATTTATTCGGTTCTGTCTAATTCAGACCGATTTAGGTTAATTGAGTCAGGTAGAAGTCAATTTAGGTCGGTTTAGACTGAGTATAAGGCTGATTTAGGTCTGATTTGTCCAATTGACCTGCACCGGTCCGGTTTGACCTGATCGGTCAACGATTGACCAAACCAACCTAAACCGGTTTGATTTTAAATAAAACCAGATTTAATTACCAAATCGGATTTAAACCGGTTAAATCGGTCTAAACCGAAAACCCTAATTTTGGAATGCAGAAACCGCCGAGTCACCCGAGTGAACCTGGTGGTTGACTCACCCCAATTTTCCGACTCAGCTCAGCCGTGACTCATCGAGTCATGACCGATTTCGTCGGAAAATCGCCGATTCTCCACCGGTTTTCTCACCCAAAACCTATATTTATCATCTATCCCAAGACAAGAACAAACTAACCTGTGCAGACTCGTAACTCGACTGATTTACTCAGTCCGAGTTCGATCCGAACTTTGTCGTTCTTTTCCCCGTCGATCTGAGCTCCCCCGCTTGTGTAGCATCGTCGATCTCGGCTGGAGACGACACCTTTTCGCCGTTTCTACCTCTGAAACACCTCGGAAACACGTTAGCATGTTCAGATCCTAAACAGGGATCCACAGACACCTCGACCACAAGATCCACAAACTTGTAGTGGATTTTCGACTTCGATCTCTCACTGATTTCACTCCGACACTCGTTTGCATCAAAGAACAGAAAGAGAATCGACACGAGCGAGATACGAGTTTGGTCATCGAGCTAAAGCTCAGGTCTATGTCTCGAAAAGAGGAAGTCGCGTGTTTCTACTAGGGTTACAACAAGAGAAACCACCGGACACCGCCGAACGACACCGAAAAACATCGAACAAAGTTTGCCGGACGAGAGAGAGTCTCTCGGCCGAACACACACCCAAACACAAAAAACAGTTCGAATGAAGACGAAGATGAAACCCTAAGGATTTCATTAAACACACTAATAATGACAAAATTGCGCCTCCGTCCATATGAGATCATCCACTTCGTTCAGAGGCTTTGGGACCTTCTACCCGACCCAGCGGATTTGGTTGAAGACTCCACACCAACTATAATTAATGACAGAAATTGAGAAAAAAAGGTGAATATAACTTAATAATAAAATGGTATTCGTATAATTAATGTACAGTATTTGGTAATGCTACACCAGGAATGTTAATTACTTCCCCAATTAAAATCTGCTCAATCGGTATTTTGAATGTCTAAACTAAGCCCACAAACCCTATTGGATGTCTAGCCAGCCATATATATATAAAATATGGGCCTAGACTAAGCCCACGAATCCTAAGCAACTCTTTTTGAATGTCTATGTTCTCTCTCTCTCTCTCTCTCTATATATATATATATATAAGATGCGATTCTATGAGGCAAATATTATAAGAACGTATGCACCACTCCCTGAAATAAAATTTATGATATATATTTGATATGTGAACGTCCAATATATAGTCTATATTATAAGAACGTGAACACGACTCTAAGTCTCTAATAATAATAACTAAGTTATTACAAAATATATAAATAGAAAAAAATCTCATATAATTACTGTAATCTTATAAAACATATCAAATAAATATTTCCATTTTTAATTTTATCTAATAAATATTTTAAATATTAAAATATTTTAAAATAATAGAATTCTAATTCACAAAATCAAAACAATTTACAATTTCGATTTATTTTTAAATAAAATATATGTAGTTAGTGTTGATGTTATCAATTATCATCAATTTCAAAAATTTTGTTTTTATATTAAAAATTAATATAAATCGTCATTATAAATTTAAAATTGAAAGTTATTTTTGATTTTATCTATTTAAAAAATCTTGATAAAATCAATTTAAAATATTTTAATATTTAAAATATCAATTATATAATTCTATTATTTAAATGAGATTTCCTATGAAATAAAATTAATTTAAAAAACATTAAACTACACCTATCACACAGTAGATCCCAACAAAAAAGAACAGAACACACGTTCAGACAATATGACCAATAAATGATTTTAATATGACCCAGGCTATATTATATGAGAACGATAGGTTTACTCCGTAACCTCCGTTCAATAAAAAAATGACCCATCTAACTATAATATATGTGCGTGCGTAGCCACATAAATTAACAATTCCTTGAGAAAAAACCAAAAACGAAACTACTCGAGAGACGAATCGATCTTCCGTACGGATCTGGAGAAGGCCAGAATATCCTCCGGCCCACGAGCATCGCCTCCTCTGCCGTCGCCGCCGGCTTCGTCTCCCTTATCCACGATTGATTGTCGTACGACATCTCTCACCGTCGCCTTCTCCGCCGCCGGAGCCTTATCGGCGGAGCCGTCTCCCCGCCGCATTTGCTCCCCCGCTCTCTCCTTCGTAGCCTCCATCTCTCTCTCCTTTGCCAAGAAAAAGGGCACATTTTTTCTTATAAACGACGCAGAGAAGAGAGATTCGGCTTACAGAATGACACGTGGCGCGATGGAAAAGGCCACGTGGTGAGTTCATTTGGTTTGTCTCTCTCCTTCTGACACGTGGATTCAAATGGTTAATTCCGTGAAAGCACCTCGAACTACTGCCATATTTCTCGAATAGTCTCGCGGTTTAGTTCGGTGACAAAACTCCCTTGAGGACAAGTCGGAGCATCATCATCGTCTTCGTCCACGGTTCTCTCTCCTCCTCGTCGGACAGGTAACCTTGTCCGATAATGTAGTGTGCCTTTTGTTTTTACAGGTTCTGATTCGAACCCGGATTTGGGTTTCAGTTGCCTACAAAAACGTATGTTCATGATGCAGACATTGCAAAAAGATGCGATTCATCAAGAATCCGTATCATTTCTCCTCCTGCATCTACATATAATCTTACCTCTGAGACATGACAACAATCAAAGGAACTCGATTTCCTGTGTCTTAGTTCCTCAGCCTCAGCTCAAAACATCACTTCAGATCTCAACTTTGGTCTGTAAGAGCAAATGCAATTTGGCAGAAACCCAGTTCAAAAGATTAGACCTTTTCGTTTTTCTTTAAGTTGTATTGCCACTGAGAAACACAACATTTCACTTCAGCTTTTGGTTGGAAACAGCAAAGGAATGCTTTCATTAGACAGTAGAGTAATCCATAAACAGACCTCGATGAATAGAAGCAGATGAAATTTCCATTTAACAAACGCTAAGAAAACAGGCAAATCCAGAATCTGATTCACATCTATCAGCAAATGTTTGAAATTTATAATGTACTCGTGGATAAACCTCAACCTGCAGCTCGAGAACCAAGTTTGGTTCTGTTCCACATGACAACATAATCCTAGAAACACCAAAAGGACATAACTTTCCCATCGATCGATCTAAACTTCGACAATCCATTAAACATTTCTGTGTTCTGAACCTAATAGAGATAAGCTGGAACCTTGATGCGAATGAAGAGCATACTCATGATATAAGCGAGCGCAACAGAGGAGATCCCAGCTGTTGCGTAAGACACCTTCACGCTCTTGGCTCGGTTCTTGTCGAGCGCCAGATCCAACATCACGATCCCGATCCCTCCGAGCACGAACATGAACCCCGAAGACAGGCCCTCGATGATGTACTGCCCGTTGACCCGACCCGACATGAACACGACCGGTCGTACGGCCCCGGTCACTGGATCCTGAATCGACCCGATACCTGGAGGCTCGACGATCACGTCGTAGACGAAGCCGGAGACGACCAAGAAGTAGGTGAGGAGGATTAGTGAATAGACCGTCATCGACGACGGGAGGGTGAAGGAGGGGAGCTTGAGGCGTAGACGCGGCGGCCGGAGAAAGGAGAACGGGAGAATTAGGAGAAGGTGGAAGATCGGATCGATCGAAGACTGATCCGATATGGCGGATGCGGCGGCTAGGGTTTTGGGATCGGGTTTCGGCGCCATTTTCGTCGGTTCCTCCGTGTGGTCTCAGATCTTCCATGGTATCCGTACTAGAAAATTATCAGAGTTGGCATGTTTGGACATTAGAATATAGTTATCCGCGGAATGGATGTAGATTTCTTGCATTTTCGAATTTCACCTCCGAAGAATCATAACTAAAACGTGCAAATAGACCACACTACGGTAGGTAACGCCTAATATTCGCTTTGAAAATTACAATTATAATCGACCATAAATTACTAATATGCAGTGTTTGTTGCCATATATTGTCTAAATGATCTTACATTGTAATTTATTATACAATTAAATAGCTGTTCCATGGAACCGGTATTTGGAATAAAAACGTTACAAAAATAAAATACAAATAGATTTACGTTGTTACCGGTTACTCAGCTAAACCGGAGATATCCGGTTTATCCAAATTTAATTTACCTAGCCCCTTCCTCTCTTTCTCCGTCTCGTCAATCATTCGCCGCCTCTCACTTCTCCATCCGTCTCTCTCTCTCTGGAAATGGCGTCTTGTTCGTTCTTCAACTCATCCCTCTCCTCCCTCAACCCTAAACCAGACTCTCTCCATCGCCGCCGCACCACCTCCACGCTCCGCCATCGCCCCGTCGTCATCACCTGCAGCACCTCCTCTCCCAACACCG